ACTTTCTGTTCTCCTTCCTCCGTGGCTGAAGTTCCCCCTCCTGCCCGTGCGCGGGCCGCGTCCCCCTCCTGTCCTCCCCGGTCGGCCAGACCGGGGTGAAGTTCGTGCCCGGCGGCGGGTGCGTGTCCCCGGGGCCGGCGTCCGAGCCCTGCGCGGTGCCCTTCCCGTCCCGCGCACTCGGTCGCCGAGTTCTGGGCCGAAGCGACTCCCCGGGCCCTGGCCGGGACGGGAGACGCTCGTGCGCCCCGCGGAGCCGGCCGCGGGTCCCAGGCTGCCCTCCCCAGACCACACTTGTGGCGGTGGGTGGGGCAGAAGTGGAAAAGACGAGGATTCGGGGCGCCACCCCCAGAGCTGGTATTTTGCCTTCTTCTTTACACTTTCTCGAAGTAATTTTTTAAAGGAATTGTGATGAGTTCCCAAGTCTTCGCCAAAATATACAAACCTCACTCATTTTAGGTACTGTGGACTGGACGTGTCCACTCTTCTTTATTATCTCTGGAAGACATCTGTCGCAAGTTCCCAAAACAGTTTCTAGAAACCAGGATTCCAGCTGTCATGGCTTCGGTAATCAAGATGTGCCCTTTTTCTGTAATCCTCATCTTCCACCTCCGCAGGCCCCCAAATCGAATTTTTTTGGGGGGGGGGATGTGGTTCATTAGATGCCTGTGCCTGAGTTGAGTCTTCCAACCCGAAGGAGAAAGGAGGGTTAGATGAAATACAGCTCTCTTTCTTAAACTTGTGATGAGAAGCGAGACTTCCACCTCCTCTCTTAATGGCACTGGAAGACTGTATTACCGTTGCCATTGGAAGGACGCCCTCCTCAAAACTATGTGTTCTCCAGATTCAAGATTTCTGTGGTGGACTTCAAAGAAAAATGGAGACGAACTGTGATTGAGCTAGCTCTGTTGGTATATGCAGGTTTTGTGATGTGATTTCAGTCATTTGCTCCTCAGTTTACCTACTTGGGAAACTTTTTCATTATGACACTCTGTTAATACCAAACCACATCTTTCCAAGGAAGCACTTCTTGTACTTGAGTGGTTCTTCTCCTGGGACGTTTCAGCTATTATTGCCCCGACTGTTGAAAGTTTAAAATTCATGGTTACACGGTAGTTAAAAATAGTTTTACAGGTCTCCACCAGGATGTCAGTAATGCTGGTGTGGGCCGACAGCCTATGGTGCCAGCCTTGGCAGAAACCATGCTAACAAATCTTGGATAAGGTGAAAGCAGTCTGTAAAAGAAATCCCAAGTAGACTTCAGCAAAAGTTGGGAACTTGAGGGTTGGGAACTTGAGAGTTAGAAAGGAGTAAGCAGGTCAATTTCAGGTTCATGTCAGAATTGTCCTGAAATTCTGCCTGCTTCCCTGCCCCATTTTGGCTTTGTAAGGTACTTCTCAACTCTGATTGTTGTTCTTATTGCAGCTGACCACTCCAGCAGTTAGTTCCCTGTCTACCTACCACTTCTCCATTCTTGTCATCTCCAGATAGGCACAACCAGTGGCTTTTTGACAATGAAAATTTTAATTGTGCTTGTATGAACACTAATTTTGTCCTCATCTCTTTTTGGGACTTGCCAGATGTTAAGAGGATAGCAGATAATCCTTTGTGTGGGTGTTTTAGTGTTTTAAATAAGCTTAAATCTTTCATTTCAAGGGCATAAACAAACACAAAGCCTTTATTGAAAGTTTAATGAAACAAATGAAAATGCTTAGTAGTACTGAATGTCCTAGTAACACAACACCCTGGTGTTAACAAGATTGGAAACAGAATTGCGATTTGTCACTGTGATCTTATTTCAGAATGAAAGGGTATTTTGGCTGTTTCTCTTTGTGGCAGAAAAAACTTTAAATCTTAATGACAGCCCAGTTTACCTTTTGTAGTGGTGGTTTTAGATGCAGCAGAGTCAGTGCAACCAACCGGCAGTCCCCATCCTTTTGGGCATCAGGGACTGTCTTCGTGGAAGACAGTTTTTCTACACACTGGGTTTGGGGGTGGGGATGGTTTTGGGATGATTCAAGAGCATTACGTTTATTGTGCACTTTAGTTCTATTATTATTACATTGTTATATATAACGAAATAATTATGCAACTCACCATAATGCAGAATCAGTGGGAGCCCCGAGCTTGTTTTCCTGCAACTAGATGGACCCATCCGGGGGTGATGGGAGACAGTGACACCCAAAGCGTCTACTTCGTAAAATCGTGTTGGTTGCTGTCACTGCAGAAAACCCTGCTTTACAAAGATAGGTTGTTGGAAATGGAAGCCGGCTTTTCAGTACTGATCTGACAGGAGGCGGAACTCAGGAGGTAATGTGAGTGATGAGGAGCGGCTGTAAATACAGATGGAGTTTCGCTCCCTTGCCTCCGGCTGTGCTGCCTGGTCCCTAACAGTGCTGGTCCATGGCCGGGGGTTGGGGACCCCTGCAACAAACAGGTGGGTTTGGCGTCGTGGGAATCTAAAGATGAGTGTTAAAAGTCATCTTTTCTGTCTTTGAGAGCCCCGCTTGAAAACAGTAAGATGGACACCTGTCATGTGTCTGGCACTTGACAATTTACAGACTACTGTCAATAATACTTTTGAACATGGCCTTTGACAAACCTATATTATCAATATCCCCATTTTACTGTAAAAAAACAAACAAACAGGGTTAAAGAAACTTGCCCAAAGTTGCATGGCTACTTTTCAGTCAGTGAACCACATAAGTCCTTCACTGTGCCTGCGATTCTGAACATATAATAAAGATTGCTATCTGTCTTCTGACTTTTCAGTGTGCTCTAATACATTCTCTGGTGTTTTGCAGTCTCTTTTTCTGCACTCCCAGTGTTAATGTGTGTGAATTTTATTTTGTTAACACATGTACAATACAAAACGAGGCACGAGTGCCTTAAGAACACAATTCCTTAACTATTTCTTTTTTTTAAGTTTATTATTTTAAAGATGGGGGTACAATTCAGAGTTAGGTATACAAATGTTCATTATGCAGGAACCCTTGTTAAAAATTTCTTAAGAACAGAGCTTAAAATTAAACACATACATAATTACGAGACCAATAAAATTTCAAATTTACATTATTACCCTGACAGCTGTTTTTTTAGCTACTGACAAAATGCATATGATACCAAGTGGCACAAACACAGGGTCTCTGGAGAATTGCCATGACTGCACGATTCTGCTTCATGGCATGATATAGGTCTTCCGATACTTTTCTGTTTTGAACTGTAGGAAAACCTTTGTGTGCTATGAGTTATGTGGGCTTCACTTGATGTGAACACATCATTATTGAGTTTGTTGCTGTTCTGATCTCATTAACTCTAACTAAAGAAGGCCTGTTAGCATCAACACTGGTGTACCTTCCAGCGCAGGTATGGGCACTCAAATTACTTGGCAGGACTCATGTCTTGAGGATTGACCAGTTCCAGGAAGTGCTATATCAGTTTATTTGAGATATGGAAATGAAAGCTGCGATTGGAGTTTTCAGAGGCAACTCGAGAGTTCTGTGGATCCCAGTTTGAGAATCACTCCTTCAGTAGTAAACCCAGTGTATGGACATATAAGGAATAGACTCCCTAGGAGTGATAGGGGGGCCAGGAAAGGCTTCAAGGTAGAGGTGATTTTAACGGGTCCTTTTAGGAATTGGTGATATTCCTAGGCATAGAGAACTTAACCCGAAAGATAGAGAGAAATAGGGAACAGGTATTCTAGGATGAGCAAGGCCTGTGGAGGTTTATGATCTGTTAGGGGATATTACATACATCATGGGGCAGAGTGAAAGAGGCAGTAAGAAAGTTTAGTTTGTAGCTGGGTGGTAGAGGTAGAGTGTTTGGCTCTAAACTTAAAGAGGAGTTTTTGCAAAGACCTGTTAAACAGATTGCTGAAATGTGAAACTTGGAGGAATTCCTGCTTTATTTTATCAGCTTTGAGAAAATGATTGCTCAACTTTGTTTCTTTGCTGACAGACCTGTTTGAAATGAGTTCCATGCAATGCTTGTAACTCTGGGGCAAGCACTGACTGTGGACTTATTCCTGGACTGGGTACTTGTACTTGCAGCATCTCATTTAAACCTCACCTGAAAAGTTGGAACACTTATCAGTGGGCTATTGAGGAAACTGAGGGAAGAGAGCGCTTAGTGTTGGATGCTGTAGGCATTTCGGGTGGAACCGTTCTTTGAACCTATCTCTTTTGTCCTTTGCAAGACATTTAGTGTCTGCGATCCTGCTCCCTAATTGCCAGTCACGTCCTGTGGTGGTTGGGATAACCCAAAACACCTTCACCCAGGTAGGCAGGAGGGAGAGTGATACCATTCCCTGGAGAATGATTTACCCCGAATCACAAGAGAAGTAAGTTTCCTGGGTAAGGTTTGAACTGAGGTCTCTCCAACTGACTTGAAAGCTCGAGTTATTTTTTCCACACTGTGCTGTTTCTACCACCCTTCTGAACTCTGCTCCTTGAAAACACATTTGAAAATGTAAGTCAATTAGACTGTTTCTTCCTTTGTTCCAGAATGGGTGGCATTGGGGCCCATTTCAGTTATATTTTGGCTGTTACTTTGACCTGATGTAGTGTCATTGATGGAAAGAAGGTAAGACAGGATCACTAGACACAAGGGCAAGGTCTGTGTCTTATTCACCTTTGTGTCCCTTTACCTAGTTCAGGTGAGTGGTGAGTCTGTGTTTGTTGATTGGCGCATTGAAACACATGTCAGTGACTTTCAGCTAGGAATGCTACACTCTCCACCCTCCAGGTGGCCATTTAGAAACACGGGGGTGGGGGGGTTGTTTTTGCTTGTCACCATGGCAGGGAGTGTGGGATGGGTGGGGCCAGGGTGCTAATGGGCTGTTAGTGTAAGAGGCACTCTCATAAAAATATCAATAGTGCTGTGATGACCAGCAGGAGAGCTGTTTGTCTTCTGGTTAAACTACCAGAATGAGGAAAGGGAACCTTGTTCTCTGAATTTTCATGGTGATTACTGTTTTTATTGCCTTGTATCACTATTGAAAATAATTGGTTAACTAGTTTAGCTGAACAGGAGATACCTGTGTCACATCAGTAGTTCATACCTGCAGTAGAAAAGATGATGGACAGATTCCAGAAGTCCTTGGGAGGGCGTGTTTTGTCAGAATCCTGGGACCCCAGGTTAGCCCAAAGTAGGAACCTCCTCTTGGCAACAGAGTAGAAATAGAGATGTTTCAGAATGTCAAAATCCTACTATTGTCAGTGATTTCCATCTCTTGGGTTTGACAGGGTGCCTACCAGATGGCTAATTTGGGGATTTTATTTCTTACTGTGGACTTTTCTTGGAAATTGACTTTATTGAAGAGTAGGTACAATGATAACATTATAAACAATGATAGC